AAACAGCATGATGAAGTAGAGAGTGTGAATTAGATGTCATATGATCTGAAGAAGATCTGCTCTTGTAATGTTTAGATCACTGTCTTAAAGTCTTAAGCTCAGAGAGTTGATGATCAACTAATATAAGCTCCTTGCAGTAATTCTCATAGAGAGATGATTCTCTTACACTCATCATGCCTTCCCTCAGCTTCATAATTAGAGTGGATTTCAAATATCTCTTTTTAATGTGATTGTCTCATCTGTGATCATCAGCTTTCAGCAGTAGCTGATTAAATTTGAGCAGAAAGTCAAAGAAAGCTCTTCTACTCTGTCATAGATTGTTGAGCTTTTGCATAGCCTTTTTTTGTCATGCAGAATCACTAAAGAGCATGTGTGTCTGCTTCAGTAAGCTCTCTATCATGAAGTTGATCTTGTTCTTATTATTCTCAACTCAGAGGTAAACTTGAGCTGCTGTTATTTCTTTCAGTCTCAAGTACACATATCAAGTACATTTCTCATTATTATCTAAAGCTTTCTCATCAATCTTAAGTTTTGATTGAAGCTTTAGTTCTCACTGAGAGTAGTGCTTCAGATTAGAATCATCATACTTCTTGCAGTCTGGTAGCTTGATCTTTGATCTTCTGACTGCAATGAATGATTGCAGATTTGATTGAAAGAGAATTGATGTCAGAGTGTTCAAAGCTTGTTGTAGATTAGCTATTTCAGCTTGCTGAGCTGCTATTAAATCTCTGTTCTCACACTGGACCTGTTTCTGCTGTTGAAGAAAGGTCATTCATTGTTGTTCAAAGCTGCTGAGAGTGTCCCTGCTCATTGCTTCATGTTGATTCATTTGTTGTACAAGTCTACTACTTTATCTCATTCAGCTAGACATTTTCAATGTTGCTTGTTTATTTGTTAGCATGATTGCTAACTCAGTCTATTCATATATCAGTGCTATTACTGAACTTCATGATGCAGGATTTAAGACTCTCAATAGTCTATCATATGTCAGTATGTTTGCTGAGCTTTGTGATACAGAATTAAGACTTCCAGTGGCCTATCAATGAAAGAAGTGAAGCAATTTGTAATGTAAAGGATTAAGCTCTAAGAACTAGAGGCTAGTCCTCCTATATAACAAGGATGAATTGCTTGAGAAAGGGAAGAAAAGAATGAGATGAGAACTCAAGCTTAAGCAAGCTCATGTAGCATGATCACATGTGCACATGCAAATGATGGCTAGGCTGAGTCAGCCAGCCAGAGCAAATCTAGGGGTTCAACCCCTTATAAGGCGTTGCCTCAGTGGTAGAGGCGCCGCCTTGGTAGTATAGAGTGGAGGCTTTTGTATGGAGGCCTTGGTGATGAAGGCATTGCTTGATAGTGCGGCGTATGAAGGCCTTAGTGATATCATGAGAGTTAGAGTATAGCCCTTTATAAATTCTACTTTTAAATATATTTAAATTTATTATATTTGTTAATTTATATATTTATTTATTTATTTTAAATATAAAACTTATTACTATAAAATTTACTAATTGATTTATTAAAATATAATTTTATAAAACTATTATAATAATTATTATTATTATTATTTTTATTTTATTTTAAATATAAATAATCAAAAATTATAAAATAATAAAATAATAAAATTATAAAAAGTAAAATAATATATAAATTTAATATTTACTAATTATATATTTTAAATAAAAATTTTATTTAAATTTAAAATTTATTTTTTAAATATAATATATATTTTTTTATAAAACTTTTTTTTATTTTAGTGTTAAAAAAATAAATATATTTAATTACTTAATAAAATAATTTATTAAAATATTATTTAAATTTTAAATAAATTATAAAAATAAATTTTTTATTTAAATTTATAAAATTTTAATTTTTTTATATATTATTAATAAAGATTTATATTTTAATTTTATTTTATATTTTATATATTAATTATTTTTTTAAATTATATTTATATTTTAATATATAATTTTTTAATTTTTTTATTAATATAAGATTAAAAAAATAACTTTATAAATTAATTTTTAAATTTTAATATTAATTTTTATTATTAAATATAATTTTTAGTTTTTAAAATATTTATATAAATAAATATTTAAAATAAATAAATTTAAATATTTTTACTTTTTAATTTAATATTTTTATTATTTTTTAAATTAATTTGAAATTTATTTAATTATTTTAAATTTAAATTTTTAAATAATAATTATATTAATTAATATAAAAAGTTTTATATTTTATTTTTAAATTTTAAAATATAATTTATATTTAAAATTAAATTAAAAATAAAATTTTTAATTAATTATATAAAAAAATAAAAATTATTTTTAAAAAATAGATTTTAAATTAAATAAAATTTTTATTTAATTTATATTATTAAAAAATATTAAAATTTAAAAATTATATTATTTTAATTATTATTTTATTATTAATTTATTATATATATATATATATATATATATATATATATTATTATTATTATTATTATTATTTATAAAAATTTAACATAATTATTTTTTTTATTTTATTATTTTTATTAATTAGTTTTTAATTTTTTAATTTTTTTACTATATTTTTTATATATAATTTTATTTTTAAATTATATTTAATTAAATAATATATTATTTTAAAATAAAATTAATTATATATTTTAAATTATATATATAAATTAAATTTATAAAATAATAAAATTATAATATAATTAATATATATTATAATTATTTATTTTTATGTTTTAAAAATTATTATTTATAAAATATCAACCATAAAAATATAACAAGCTTTTGATAATTATTCAGTAAGTGTTGAAAATTTTAAAGGTCATTCGCTGATCAAAAATTTAGTACAACTACTTCATAACAGTGTAGAAACTCACAGAATATCAAATGTACTGATCTGAATTCTTTCTCATTTATAATTCCACTACCACTCTTAAATAGAGAACACATTAACAGACACGCTCTTCAGCGAAGTACGGAATATAATCTCTGATGAATTTTGAATCTGCATTGCTTATTTGCTATAGGTAGAACATATCTATGGTCGTGGATTATCCTACTAACTGGCCTTGGGCGGCCCCCTGTCCAAAAATTTTTGAACATTTGAAGACAGTCTTCGAATTTTTGAAGTTTGGGTTAGCGCCACTGAGTGAACACCACACTTCTGGTCCTTACCATACATGAAATTCATCAACCTCATTTACCTCAGAGCATGGCTGGAAATTTCAGCAAGTTACTGAGACAAATTGCGAACGGTATAGATGACCACTCAGCGAATAACTAATGAAGACAAAGTGACAAAGTGTTTGAAGAACTTCTGGAGGATGATGAGGCAATACCCTCTATCGGACTGCCAAATATTCTGTTGTATTAATATGGATAGCTTGCAACTGCTCTCGTGAGGCTATTGAAAAATTTCCCAAATTGCTGGAAGCAAGCTGCCATAAATCCAGTAAACGCAGTACCAGGTAGGGCAGAAAATCAAATGTCTCAAGCTTAGTGATAACAGCAAGAAACATTATTTGGAAATGGAGTTTGAAATCTGAGGAGTTCTTTATGCCTGAGAATAGCAGCAAGGATAATCAAAATGCACTGCCAACCGACTGAAATAGTCCATGGCACACTCCAAACTGAGGAGGATACTGTTTATCTTTCGTCTCATGAGAAAATACAGTGGTGAAGCTGCCCTCACGACCTGAGGAAATTGCAGCAATTGTCATCGAGAGCAGATTAATGTCTAGTTCCTACCATGAGACGATTATGTTTCCCATGTTTTGGGTTAGTTTGCTCGAAATACAATGCTCCGGCAAATGCATTGGACGGGGATGTGGATCTTGTTTATTCCAGGCCTCGGCCGTACCCTAATCTTCTCTTCTCGGTTCGTGTAGTGTTTATATTCCATTTATCATCCTCCGGTTGCTGACACAATTTAGATGAGAGACCTGGATACGGCTAACTCGCCGGATAATTGGATGATAACATTATCGAAACCGTCGTTTTTCATGATTATATACATGTTTCCAGAAAGTCTGCACAAAATCACCTCCCGTTCTCCTAGGTAATATACCTGTTAAGTTAGCCCTTGACAATTGACGGGAGATTTCAAAACCTTTCCAGAGAGGACCAAATCTTCGAGTAGTGGTTTCAGGGTTTGTAACCGCCCCGGGTCAGCATAGCACCATCAATTTCTCCGTCATTGGTTCTGAGCATGGATAATTCAGGTTAAAATCTAAGTACCTGGCAGAATTCGCGATTGGTGATTCGCCCGCTTGGTTCTCCATTAGTTACCTCAGGATACGAACTGCTAAAGCCCTATGGATCCCTGGGATTTCGGTTCCTCCCCTGACTAGTCATTGGGGTTCTCTGGCGATCATATATACCTCACCTGCCGGATCGCGAACGTATATATGGTAGGTACTCTTATGTTTGGTATCATTGCCACCTTAACTCCGGATTGAGGTACGCTAATGCTAAAACTAGATTTAGAATCAATGACTAAATAATCGAGTATACACATGTTGACATTGGACTGTCTGAGGAAATAGGCTTTCTCTTTTGACAGAGATTTGATATCTCGACTTGCATATTGGTCCTCAGTTGTGGAACTAAGGAAATCCCGTATCTCTCGGCGGGATATCTGGCTTCTCATTACATTCTTGATGAAAGTTGAGAAAATTAATATAACGATCCCAATCTATCCTTCGTTCGCACCTTACCACCAGTGTCGCAGAACCGGCGGACCCCCACGACGCCCAGATGGATATAATCCAACCCGTCCCTTTTATGAAGTGAAATTCGCCATAACCCCCCAAGATTCTCCCCTCAGCCCAAAACCTAATCCGCGACGACATCCCCCTCTAATGGTAATCGGGCCGACCCTTGAAGATTCCCCACACAATGTTCACGCGCAGATAACGAACACGCGACTCCTTACTGATGGTATCGCATAATGAAAGCCCACACACAATCAAAATTCGCAATACCTATTCGAAAGTCCAAGGTCTAAATCTCAAAATTCTCAACATGCAAATAGATCCCCTGAGCCCCTGTCCCCTTATGCACCGCCCGCTCATCGCTCAGCGACACAACAATCCGGCGTACAGCAGCATTCAGCCCGCGTGGGCCGCATACGACAACAGAGCTTTCGCCCTCCCCAAGCTCGAGGACTTTACGAATTATGCCGCGCGAGTCGGGGCGGCCGGAGAGGATTCGGATGCGTGGATCAAGGTCTAGTTCTGAGTTGGGAACTGGGTTGGAGAGGTGATTTTGTGTGGTGGGAGTTTGAGGTCCATGTTCTAATGGTGGAGGTGTTTGTGATGTTTGTGGTGAGGGTGGTAACGAGTTTGAAGTGTGGGTTGGATTTCCCTGGGGAATTGGCTGTTTTGATGGTGTAGAAGATGGACCAGAGCAGCGACAGGGCGGAAAGGAGGAATTTTCGTCCATGACTTTGCGTGTGCAGCAGCACCCGCTATCTGGCTGGCAGGTTTGAGCCGCCGTTTGAGAATCAGATCGTTCTGTTTTTGTGGCAGAGTCTATGGAAATAGTTTCGATGCTTTTTTCCTGGACTTTTTTTTTGACACCATCGGATTTCTCGAGAATGGAGATTGCGAGCTGCGGCTGTGCGAGCGGCAGTGATTGCGATTTGGATGTTGTCGTCGAAGACATCTCCTCATCGCAAGTGACATAGATACTGAACTGGAGATCTCTGTCGAATGCCGGATTGCTTTGTCGGCATGCATCTATATCTTGCAACGCAACTTGAATTTGCTCCGCGAACCAACTTAGCCGTGATCGGGATCTAATTACCCAAACAAACCGGATCCGTTTGGTTAGTGACCGCGAGGGAGACGAAAACAGAGGTAATGTCCGTGGGGAGGACTTTTCCAGGAATTCGTTTTTCCAGCCTTCCACAATATCCCGCATCAATGGCATGGTGTATGTAGCACCCATCCCTCCCGCAAGCAATACCACACTATCGAATTGTCGCAGCGGGCGTATTCTTCCGTACGGACCCTCCACGCCAACTCGTTTTACACTGTCAGAACTATCGTCTCTGTTGTCTACGGTGCGAAGGCATTTTGAAGCATGGGCGAAAAACTTCCCGGTGGCTCCGTTTTGTGCACGGACGAGGAACTCTAGTTTCTTATCCGTAGGAATCGAAGCTATGCTGAGAGGGTGGCTTTGGAGCGGAACCAGCCCATGACATGACATGAAAACATGCTGGCCCGGCTTCCAGGATATCACAGGATTCGGAACCGTAATTCTTGTGACATTTCCAGGTAAGGGGGTAAACGTGGCATGATTAGCCCATAGATCTCTGGACGGTGAATCATCTACACACGGATGAAAAATAGACAAGTTGCCGTGTAATACCAAGGCAAATCTGGCGATTCGATCAACAACGACCAATCCAACCGGTATCCAAACCCATTCCTTCACCTCGTCGGGCGCATGGTACCAAAGCGCTGCAATGAAGCCGGCAAAAGTAAGCAGATGTCCCACCAAAAAAATTTCATAACTGAGTTTCCGCACCGGTGCCACGGAGACCAGGACGATGAATGTCAAGATGCACCAAGCAGCGAATCCGCGCTGGGTAAGTGGATCCGCGGTCAATTTCACTGTGATGTAATCATATCTGCCCCAGGAGCGGAACCAAAATCCCATGTGGATGGTTGCGGTGAGCCACAGGGTCCGTGCAACCCATCGATGGAGCCAGTTGAGTCTCTCATGGCTCGACCCGGTCAGGAGGCCGATGATGTTGACTTTGCTGGAGAGTAGGATGACGAGAGGCATTTGGGCGATTGCTATAAAGCCCGTGCGATAGCCGACGGTCTCCCAGCTCCATTGGTCTGTCGTGTTGAGTTTGTAGAAGCAGAGGACTAGCACGACGACTAGATTGGCCAGTATCATCAGTAAGGACCCCAGAGGGGGGAAATGTAATTTGACAGAGCGGATGGTTGCGGAGCCAAGGGTTGCATTGGAGGCCTCTCTCGCCATGGCAGTGAGAGTGGCATATGTGCTGAAGAAGATAGATTTGGGCTTGGTTGGTGTCAGGCTTGAATCCGCAAATCTGGCACGTCTCATGTTGTTAGTTAGCGCATTGAATAGAATCCAGGGTTGAGGATAGTGAAAAGGAACTCCGCATAACTCGCCTTTGAACTGCTACTACCTTGTTGAGGATATTAGCTACCGTAGCTATCCCGACAGCCATTCCCACGACAGCCCAGTACATCTCCTGCATGTAAAAGAAACTGGGAGCGCCGTCGCTTGAGCCCCCGCCCGACGGCGCCGAATGGCCTGAATGAGACATATTTTACTCCTTTGTTCGTCGTTTACCTGGAGGAAAATCTTTTTCTTTTTCTTCTTCTATATCTCCAGATTGCAGAGATAGAAACACTCGACCTCACCCCATGTCGTTCTGAGGTGTTTCTCTCATTGCACAACTACGAATTTCGAACAAAGAAGGCATCCATCAAATCATGCGAAGTAGCAAGAAGAGGTGGAAAAAGTATAGGCACGGAGGAGTGCAGCTGCAGGTATTAGTTAGTTATCAGAGAACTTTTCACGAGGCCGTGGTTCGCCGCGGCGTCCCGTAAAGTTTCCTGAATCCCCGCAACAAGGTATCTTCATCTTGATGTGCTATTAAATCTACTATATTATTTTCCTTGTGTACCAGCCCTCTCTATGTTAGAGAAAATACGGGAGCAATGGCCAGCCATGAACAAAACCCGCAACTGCTTGCGGGGCGCCCCAGTGAATAAAAAAACACCGGGTTTCGAAATTTGCACATATAGGCGGGACTCTTGGCTTAGATGGATCCTGCTAATCTGAATAATCTGCTCAAGCGCGGATGAAACCTGGACACTGGACACTGGACACTGGCCCCCGGACAGCTCTGGCGGGATGCCGTCGAGTCGAGCTGCCATAGAGAGCTGAGACTGGGGCGTCTGGGGCCGGCAGAGGGGGTGAGTCTAGGCCGCACGCACAGTTGGCGTTTGGTTCGTGGGTTGAAGCTAGAGAGGCAAAAAGCATGCTCCAAGTATGTACTGCATGGCCATGGCCGCCCCAGGTACGTGGGTCCGATTCCCGCGTCGCATGAAAGTCTTCGTGACCTGTTGCATACAGTCCGCCAGAGCTGTCAGACATAACGATTCCTCCGGACGCGGCTGTTTGAAGTCAGAGATATAACGTCTTGGCTAATTTTCATATCGTCATTTTAAATAGGGAGGGCAAGACCGTGCTTTGAGGATGGGAAGATCTGCGTTTGCCAACTTCTTCCCTATGGGCTCATATCTACACGCCCCTTTTAAACAATAATATCAAGCAATTGGTTCAGGCAAACGACAAAAAAGATCAAAGAGAGACTCTCTCTCAGAGGTGGGCTCTGGAAGTCCCCTTTTCATCCATTTGCACTATTCACAAAAAGAATCTAAATCCCACCTCTTCAATTACGAGATACGACCCATATATATCCGTAACATATATAACTACGAACGGAGATCGCCAGCAAGGGCTGGAAAGGGAGGGTGGGCGGGAAATATACAATACATACAACCTGAAATATAAAAGAGAAAAAAGAAAAAGAAAAATGTCTCCTTCTCCCCACGGCGACT